GGGGGGGAGATGGATGTGAGAGGAGGAAGGGGAGGAAGACGGGGAGGAGGAGGAGAAGGAGGAAGGAAATGGGAGGAGGAGATGGCAGGAGGAAGGAGAGGAAGAGGCGGATATGGGAAGAGGAAGAGGGGGAAGAGATGGGAGGAGGAGATGGATATGGAGATAGAAGTAGAAGTCTTTGTTCTTGCTCTGGTCTTAGCTTATCTTGGGTCGGGATGGGATGGGATGAGTTGGGCTGGGATGGGTAGAAGTTTGGGGTGAAGGGACAGAGGAGTGGATGTTGATGGAGGGGGTATTTGGATGGAGGGGTGATGGCAGTGCTTGGGTGGAGGGGATGTTTGGATGTTTGAATGGAAGGATGATGGGACGATGGGGGTGTTTGGATGGATGTTAGAGATTGAGTACTGGTGGTATTGTGTGCAATGTGTAATGTGCAATGTGTAATGGGGAATTGAGGAGCAGGATGGGAAAGGAAGGCTTGAGAATTCTGGGGAGGGGAAAGGGAAGAGGAAGCGGATATGAAGGAATAGGGAGGGAGATCAGAGGGAAAACGAGAGGTAGAATAGAATCGAATATATATACTAAAATTTTGTGAAGAAAACAAGTCATAAACATAGCATCTCGCACTGTGATACGCTTCAAGATCTATACATACCTATATATGCTTCGTGATCTGGTCTGGTATATACTTTTTGATTTGATAGTGAGGAGATGACGATCGTTTCATCTCACTTCTCGTCTCATTGTAGTTATTAGTTTTGTATAAATCACTTATTTTCCGCTGGGAGTTTGATATGAGGATACTTTGGTTTTGAAGATCAAGGTGATGTCAGCAGATGCATGAATCACTAAGTGAGTTGATGACATTTGTCAAGGAGGGTTGGGGGGGGAGGGGCACTTTCGAAGACTTTTTTTTATTTATTTATAGAAAAAGGCAAAGATATGGTCTAGAGTATTTAGTATTTAGTATGATGATGAGGTATGGGTTTCCGAGGAGTAGCTGAATCATGTATATATACCCATATCTAGTGTTGTAGGGAGCCGTCGCTCTAGCTCTCAAACGGCAATGATAGCGATAGTATGTATCTCACTGACCAGGTTTAGCTGGACTCTGGAGATATGGGAAGTTTCTGTCCCGACCATACCAACACAAAGAACAAGTAACAAATGGTACATGAGGACAATCATCAAGTCTCGCTGGTTAAAGGACGGTAAAACCCCCCAGGAATAGACCCATCTACCCACGGATGTAGTTTCAGTCCTCTTCATCGGTTCCCGCTTTATCAGCGGGTTTGAAATTCTAGCGCTATATCTAAACGATCACGCTGCTCGGAGAATTGAATCTTTTGTGGGGAGATCCTCACATTTAGATAATTCCATCGGGTTATTCGGATCGAGTGTTCAGATCGGATTGTTATGAAGTCCGAAATAGTCCGGAGAAGGTTGATGGTTGGATCAATGCTGGTTGTGGCCAGCTCTCGAAAGCCCATTTGATCTCTCAGGGAATGATATTATGATATACATAGATCTGATGCTGTAGTCTTGGTTTTCGTCTTCCTCTAACGATTCGTAATCTTTGTCTCAATCCCCATCATTTGCCAATCACATGGACTTGTTTCCATCTTCAAGTGACGGTTTTCTCTTCCTGTGACCCACCCTTGAAGCGATGCTATTCGGATCTTACTTCAAAATTCGATAATCATAGTACTAACTATTTACCGTTGCTAGAAGCAACCAGATGAGAAGCTCTTGTTCAGCTTGTACGAGGATAACTTTTTCCTTGAAAGTTCATTGGATAATTAACTTCATGTACCGAACCCGGAATCATTGGCTCGGGATTTTAAACAAAATATAGAAAGTGATATGGAAGCCTCAGCTTGCCACAAGATCCTGCATTCAATACATCAATATTAGGCTGGAATGTGATATATCAGAATAAGAACGGTTGAATAAGTTCGGAGATAGAAGCGTCTCAGATCCAGTATTACCCCAAAATCATATCTATATCTTTAAGCTTGGCTATAGATTGTTTTCAATCACTTGATTTCATAAGACTTTGATCTTTTGTATAGAGAAGAGTGAAGTATATGACATACGGCAGAGAATCGAGGGGCATGCTGAGTATATGCAGTTTTCTCATTCATGACTCTGCCATAGGTGATTGGAGATGATTATAATCCACAGTGGATCAATAATGTCTTGATAAGGGAAATAATAAGTGGTTAATAAGTGGTAAATAAGTGGTAAATTACATTGGTTAAAGTCATGAATTGAATGGATTTTGATTGAATATCCTTGAAGTTTCTACCTCCTACACGTCAGAGAGAATGATAAAATGGCTAAAAGGTAGGATCACCTGACTGTCAATTTACCGATCGGTGTTGGAGCCACCGAGAGAATCCCTTCTCTTAGTGGGGCACAAAGCACTTTAACATGCGGCTAGGTCCAACAATCTTCAACTTTACATTTTCGAGACAACTTCTTCACCATACTATCAAACTCTCTTTATAAAGAATCTTGTAACAGCGCAAGCTGCACGAAAAGACATTGAAAGCGTATTGCTTATCTATTGAGAATAGGATAGGGTATCATACCTAAATCAAGCTGCAAAGATGGCTGTCACCATTGAAGAGCTTGACGCGACGGTCAAGACTTTCTATGAAGGTCGTGGTGAGGCTGTGAGTATAACTTATATACCTGAACCATCTTTCTATCTTGGAGCTTCTTTACTGACGCGTTGGTGATATAGCAAAAAGCCGCACAGGCTGCAATGAATCAGGTGCGACTTCTTTATGCGCCGAAAATATTCTCGTTTTATATCGCCATCGATACTGATATAAAGTATAGTTCAAGGAAGATCCAGATGCATGGTTATTAGTTGATAAGATATTACAAGAGTCTACATATCCGCAAGCCAAATGTCAGTCTAGGTCCCCCAACGCCTTGTATGCTGTTCCACTAACATATTATAAGATTTGGGTTTGCAAGTTCTGGATCATGTTATCATGACGAGGTGGAAGGTTTTGCCTAGAGAGCAGTGCCAAGGTACATAGAAGATGTACTCATCCCTGATGATAATTGGTATGCTGACTTGTTCCAGGTATTCGAAATTTCGTCGTTGGTTTCATCATACAATGCTCCGGCTCGGAAGAATCTCTCAGAAACCAGAGAGTCCTCTTGAATAAATTGAACCTCGTCCTCGTTTCCATTCTCAAGCAAGAATGGCCTCACAACTGGCCCACTTTCATCAACGAGATCATATCCTCCTGCCATACCAGTTTGTCGATATGCGAGAACAACATGTCGATTTTGAGGTTATTATCGGAGGAGGTGTTTGACTACTCGGCGGACCAAATGACTTCTGCCAAGACCAAGAACTTGAAGACGACGATGTGTGCAGAGTTCTCATCCATCTTTCAGCTCTGCAACGAAGTTCTGAATAGCGCCACCCAAGAGAGCTTGATCAAGGCTACTCTCGAAACCCTTCTTCGATTCTTTAACTGGATCCCCCTTGGCTATATTTTCGAGACGACAGTTATCGACACTCTCAGAGAGAGGTTTTTGGAGATGCCCGAATTCAGAAATGTCACATTAAAGTGTTTGACCGAGATTGGCGGACTCCAGACCGGCACGGGGAACAACTACGATGAGAAGTTGGTCCAGATGTTCACCGAAGTTTTAACCACAATCTCCAAGATTATTCCCTTAACTCTTGACCTCAAGAGCACCTATAACTCTAGCAACTCCAAGGACCAAGAATTTATCCAGAATCTGGCACTTTTCTTGTGCAACTTTTTTACCTACCACCTTACCGTAAGTCCTCTCTCTTCTCACTCACTCTTCTTCGATGCATTCTAACTTTCTCAATAGCTCATAGAGAATCTTCCGAATCGTGATTTCCTTACCCATGGCCACTTCTACCTGATCCGAATCTCCCAAATTGAGGACCGAGAAATCTTCAAGATTTGTTTAGAATACTGGACGAAACTTGTTCAAGAGTTGTACGATGAACAACAGTCACTACCCATGGGTGACGTCAACCCACTCGTTGGCATGGGCGTTGGCGGTATTTCAAGTCCCGGTGCACCAAACCCAAGTTTACTCGCCAATTACCCTCTCCGAAAACACAAGTACAATGAAGTGCTCTCGAACTTGCGAGTGGTCATGATTGAGAAGATGGTCAGACCTGAGGAAGTGTTGATTGTTGAGAACGATGAGGGTGAGATTGTTCGCGAATTCGTCAAGGAGAGCGACACCATCCAATTGTACAAAACCACCCGAGAGTGCTTGGTTTATCTCACCCATTTGGATGTAGTCGACACTGAGAATATTATGACTGAGAAGTTATCTCGACAGGTTGATGGTACCGAATGGTCCTGGGCCAATTGTAATACTCTGTGCTGGGCTATTGGATCCATCTCTCTTGCCATGAACGAAGAGACTGAGAAGCGCTTCTTAGTTACCGTCATCAAGGACCTACTCGGCTTGACTGAAATGAAACGAGGCAAGGACAACAAAGCTGTGGTTGCCAGTAATATCATGTACATCGTTGGTCAATATCCACGGTTTTTGAAGGCTCACTGGAAATTTTTGAAGACGGTCGTCAACAAATTGTTCGAGTTCATGCACGAGTCCCACGAGGGTGTTCAAGATATGGCTTGTGATACTTTCATCAAGATCGCCAGACAGTGCAAGCGTCACTTTGTTGCTTTGCAACCTGGTGAGTCTGAACCGTTCATCGAAGAAATTGTTAGGACGATGCGCAAGATCACTTGTGACCTATCCCCTCAACAAGTACACACTTTCTACGAGGCTTGTGGTTATATGATTGCAGCTCAACCACAAAAGAATGCACAAGAAAGACTCATTGCTGAGTTGATGTCATATCCAAATGCTGCCTGGGACGCCATTATTTCTCAAGCAACCACCAACCCGCAAATCCTCCAAGATGCAGACACCATCAAGGTCATTGGTAATGTTATGAAGACTAATGTATCTGCTTGCTCTTCGATCGGAAGTTACTTCTACCCTCAAATTGGGCGTATCTACCTCGATATGTTGTCCATGTACAAGGCTACCAGCACAATGATTTCTGAAGCAGTTGCCAATGATGGTAAGTGGTTTGACATAATGCTTCTACAATCGGTGATACTAATCTGCAATAGGTGAAATCGCTACCAAGATGCCTAGGGTCCGAGGCTTGAGAACCATCAAGAAAGAAATTCTTAAGCTCATCGAAACCTATGTTGAGAAGTCCGATGATCTTGAGATGGTTCGCAACAACATCGTTCCAGCTCTCCTCGAAGCCGTCCTCGTCGATTACAACCGCAACGTTCCAGGGGCCCGTGATGCCGAGGTCCTCAAGGTTATGTCCGTAATCATAACCAAGCTTTCTGTACGTTGGACCCCTTATCGCTCGAAGTATTCAGTGGTGCATACCCTCTCTTTTTCTCGATCTCCTTAATTTTTTTGAGCATATATCAATCATTTACTAACGTTCAAAACAGGGCCTTATGGAAGATCAAGTCCCAAATATCATGTCGAATGTTTTCGAGTGCACTTTGGAAATGATCAACAAGGATTTCTCCGAATTCCCAGAGCATCGTGTCGAGTTCTTCAGTCTACTTCGCGCAATCAACCTACACTGCTTCCCTGCACTTCTCAAGCTCGATAATCGGCAATTCAAGTTCGTCATCGATTCTTGCATGTGGGCTAGCAAGCACGACAACCGTGAAGTCGAATATGCTGGTCTTATGATGTGCCTGGAGTTGATTACCAACATTGCAGAGACTGATCCCGCCACTTCTAATGCATTCTTCCAGCAATTCTTCGTTCCCATTCTCCAGGATGTGTTCTTTGTACTCACCGATACTGACCACAAAGCTGGATTCAAGTCACAAGCAACCTTGTTGGCACGAATGTTCTACTTGGTCCACCCAGCCGATGGTTCCGCACCAAAGATTCAAGGGCCAATCTACGTTCAGGATCAAGCACCACCACAAACGAGCAACAAAGATTTCCTTACAAACTTTGTGGCTACTTTGTTGCAGAATGCATTCCCAAATCTCCAAGTGTAAGTTATTACTCTCTGTTATTAATTCGTGTTACTAAACCATTTTAGACCTCAAATCCAGAGCTTTGTTGAGGGTCTTTTCACTTATAACCATTCTGCGGATCGATTCAGACTTAACCTACGTGATTTCTTGATCTCGTTGAAGGAGTTTGCTGGAGACAATGCAGAGCTTTATGCCGAGGAGAAAGAGACAGCCGAAAGAGATGCCAAGGCCGCAGAACGTGAACGTCTATCCAAGGTTGGAGGACTTATCAAGCCCGCAGAACTTGATGATGAGGATGAGTTGTGACTTGATGAAGAATTGAAAATCGACCATGGACGACAAGAAGACCCATCCCCAGATCAAGAACGCCGAGTCAACTATAATGCCAATAAACTTGATGGTTGGGACGTTTACGATCTTTGAACAGCTTTCTCTATACATCTAGCAGGACACACTGCTGTCCGATCTGGATAATGATATTTCCTTACTTTTTCGCCCAATAATATCACATACTTGGGAGCAATTTCGCTACCTAAGTGGAGTTACTACGAAGGATCAGAATGATATTGTTTGTCTAAAAAGTTATTTTCTGTTTAGATTCAAATCTCCGATGACCATCGTGAGGCGATACACAATAGGCATTTGCGAAGCAATTTTTCATTTCTTGATACCTCTGAATTTAGGAGGCACATTGTGCATGTGTCAGTTGGTGGAGGAAGTTTGAGCAATAATTAAGGGAAACGAAATGGGAATGAGAAACGACATATGACAGAAATGCAGGAGCATTTTCCGATATCACAATGAATATGGTATTAAGAAATTATGGATTTTTTGCAATGTGAGGATGTTACACAAAGTATTTGGTAAGTACTTCTCAGTGCTAACATGTACTGAAAAGGTTACTCAGGCAGAGTAAGTCAACCAATGAAGACTTACAATACTATAACGTGCATGTACCAGCCACAGTCAAATGTGACCTTCCCTTCTTGCATTGTTTTCGTCACCAATACGTCCTTCAATATAGCATTCTGGAAGGTTGTGCTCAGGGTAAAAGCGCTAGGAAGCCTTCCGCATCTTCAATACTAGGCACATTCAGTCACTCACTGGCTGGATATCTGATGCTAGCACGGAGCTTCTTGATCATCAATACATATTACCCCGCGGCTTGTACAATGTTCTTGGGTACCTTTTTCCGCTTCTTTTCTGTTTGCATTTTTTCCAGTTTTCAGTGATGTCTTTAGGAAAATTCGTTACAGCAGTCTGTTTCTTCGGTCTTACGATCGCCCAAAACAGTTCAAATATCAATCAAACAACCTGTAATGGCAACACATACACGTATCAGGAGCTCGGGGGCTATGGATTGATTCCCGGAGATGCTCGTGATAAGTTTGGAGACACGATTGGAGGGATTGGGAGTGTAATTGCAATTGATACTGCGACTTGGACTAAGTTGGGGAATGGAAGTTATAAGGGAGTTTTGTGGACTTTGCCGGATCGAGGATGGTTTGTTACTTCTCTTGAGCTGTGGAAAGAGATTAAAGATTGAGAACTGATGTTTATGACAGGAATACGCAGGGGACACTTAATCATCAGTCTCAAGTACATAAATTCGATCTCCTTTTCACTCCTGTGCTTAATGCAACACTGGCCAACCCATCAGGGAAGAACTTGCTGTTCACATATACTGATACGGTACTTTTCTATGGACCTGATGGGACACCAACCACAGGCTTGGATGCTGATGGCTCTGGTCATTTAAGCTAAGATGGCTTTCTAGACTTACTGGTTGCAACGTACACAGGTGATGGTTTTGGTAGGAATGGGACTGGGGGCAAGAGGATACCGGTCGATGCAGAAGGTCTAGTCCTTGATGGCTCGGGCGGTTTCTGGATGAGTGATGAATATGTGTGCTCCCTTGCCTTCTCAATACATAACATTGACCTGATCATCTACTAGGGCCCTTATATCTACCACTACAACTCCACCGGCGTAATGGTCTCCGCCATCCGGCCACCAGATGCCTTCATACCCATGCGTAACGGCAGCCGATCTTTCTCTGCTGACTCCCCATATTATTATCCTGATCAAGGCGGCGGCGACAATGTCTCACCCGCTGACAATCCTACTAGTAGAGATAACAACCATGGATTTGAAGGTCTCGGCATATCCACCGATGGAAAAACCCTTTATACGCTACTCCAAGCTGCGAATAACCAAAAAGGTGGATTAAAAAGCCAGACTGAACGCTATGCTCGCTTTCTCTCATACGATATTTCGGATCCAGCGAATCCAGTATATCGAAGCGAATACGTAGTCCCACTTCCTTTCTGGACCGATCCAACAGCAAACGCAAGTAAAACTCCGAAAGTTGCTGCTCAGTCTGAGATTCATGCGTTGCCAAATGGACAATTTCTGTTCTGGCAAGGGATTCCAATGCGGGAAATGGGCAGAGTAGTACGCTTAGTATCTATCGACAAATTGATATCTTCGATATAGTCAATGCGACGGATAATAAGGGGATAGAATATGATTGTGCGAATTGTTCAATAGCTAGTACTAAGGGAGTACTTGATGATGGTATAGTAACGGCGGGATACTGCGGGTGGATACTGCGGGTGGTTAAACTTCAACGATAATACGCAGCTAGGCAGGTTTGGGGTACATAATGGGGGAATAACAGATGCGGGGTTGTTGAATGAGAAGTGGGAGAGCATGGCGGTTGTACCTGTTGATGGGATAGATGGGGCAGATGGTGAATGGGTAAGATTACGTTTTCGTTGACGTTTTGCAGCGGCGTGTGAGGATGTGTGTGCTAACTGGATCTTGATGGGCTCGACAGTATATCTTCAGCTTGAGCGATAATGATTTTATTACACAAAATGGGTTTTTGGATGCAGGCAAATTCGCGTATAGTGATGCTAGTGGGTATGATCTTGATAATCAAGCTTTGGTCTTTAAGGTGGAGATCTCGGGTCTTAGTGCGGCTGGGGGGTATTGGGTGGGTTGAAATGGGGGGTGTGAAGCGAAGTTTTTACTTATATATTAAATTAAGCAGTGCTTGGTTGATCTATATTGTATGGCTAATTTCTTGAAGGAGGAGATTGATTGATTGTATTTGGAGGGCTTGGTGATGTATTGGGGTGTCATTTGGGGAGAAGTGTGTGTAAAAACAACGATTTCTTTTGTTATTGGTAAAGCAACGGACTCAAATACATGGTGGATGCTAGTTGCATCATCTGCTCCCTTTTATGCCCTCACTGGTAACTACGATTCATATCATGAAATTTTCCTCCGCCACCCGCACATTCTCCTCTCTTGTTCATAGCCACAGCTACCCTGTCCGAGCTCCTGCTTCCTGATCATCCTTGTGCTGGGCCTGGACCTGGAGGCATGTTGGGCGGATTAGGGTCCATCTTGGTACCAGGTTTTGTCTTGCGTTGAGACGTTTCCAGGTGGTATTGATGTAACTCAGCGTCATAGCCTGGAGTGTCGTAATCCATTCTCCCTGGTACGAAGAATGATGTATAAATCGGATAGGGGGGCTTTGGGCCTGAAGCTCCCCCAGAACTGAGTTGTCTCCTGATGCCCCTTGGACTGAGCTCGGAAGTGGTACTCCTTGTGCTGAGCTGGAGGCTTGAGGCATATAGGTAGGAGTGGAATATGGCTGGTATGAGCCTGAAGTTCCGCCATAGCCTGAAGTTCCACCGTAGCCTGAATTGTCTCCTGATACACTTTGGTCTGGGACTGATGCAAAGCCTGTTCGTTGATGTGGGTCAGGCTGGTATGTCTGGCCGGAGGATGATTGTTCCGTGCGGCCATAATATTCAGCGGTTGTGTCATCACTAGGATTCACTACCTCTTTTTCTTTGCCTGTTCTAGGGACCCTTTCTGACGGCCGCTTCGATCTACCAGACATGCTGTTGATGTTGGTTAGCACTCATATACCATAAGCTGCCGTCAGATGTTTTGAGGTACCTTGCAAGTATTGAGTTCGACTCGTCTCTAGTGTGTAATGCGCGAAGGACCTCGATGGATGGAACACTGTATTCACTTAGCTACTCAACATGTAAAATGCGGGGCATAGAACATACGAAGCTTGTGTTTGATAAAGAGAAATGCAAAGTGTGAATGCACGAGCTTGACCGAAGTGTCCAAAACACTGGAGCGTGTACGGAGACAGGTGATGAGAGAAGTCAAGTGATGGTAGATTTTTTTTGGTGTGGTGTTGAGTAGTATGGAGTGAGTTTTTTGCGGTGTGGAGTTTGTGTATTGTGCTTGTGAAGTTTGGTAGATGTTTTGGTGTGTTGGATGTTTCGGTGCTGGATGTGGATGTGGATGTGGATGTGGATGTGGAAGAGAAAGGAAGAGGTCGAGAAGGGGGAATCGAGCCTTTTTATGCACAAACAAGCACTGGAAAAGGAGGCTAAAAAACAATCATTTGAGTCAAACTCAACTCGAAATGCTGTGCTTTCACACACATTTCTCTATTTCTGTGTCATTACGAGTTTCCAAGCGTTATTCTGTTGACTTTTCGAATCAAAACCGCCTCGAAATCCTGTGCGTTAACACACATTTCTCTGTTTCTGCGTCATTTCGAGCTTTTCAGCATCAATTCGTGGACTTTTCGAATCAAAATTACCCCCAAATATTATGCTTTCACACACATTTCGCTGTTTCTGCGTCATTCCAACCTTTCCAACATCAATTCGTGGACTTTTCGAATCAAAAATCTCAAAAGGCTGTATCCGAGTCATCATACCCATGTCACTTGATATATGCTATTTGAGGCCATAAACAATTATTTTGCTGACTTTTCGAGTCAAAAATATCTTAAAAGACTGTACAATCACATTCCTATTCCTAAATCCACGTGATTATGGTTATTTCAGGGTTATATCGTGATTTCTCTAGTCATTAGGGGATTCAGTGATTGAAACATGTGTGAATGGGCTTAGGGCACTCGGAAATACATGGAACGGCACAGAATAATGGAAATGTAGGTATGAATCAGCCCCAAATGATGCAAAAATATGCCAAAAGGGCTCGCAATGAGTTTTATTTGTATAAGCGAACGCTTGAGTAGGGGTGATGGATCTTTTGTGACTCCCAAAATATGCTGGATTAATTAAATGATCTGGATGAATTTTAAAAGATATCCAACTTGAAAGGGCATGAAATGTTTATGGAAACCTATAAAATGACACGAATGATATGAAATATAATGATGAATAGATAACATTTCACATCTTTACACAAAATACATACTAAATCGGGTCAAATTATCATTATACCTACAAATAAACCGCACCCATACAAGAACCCACATTATTTCACTCCAGATCACTTATACAACACCTGGAAATCAATAAATCAATGATTTCATGAAGATGAATCATGACATCGATGTCATGCACTCTTCACCCTTTAGGTTTGGACTGGATATTGCATTACATTACTCTTCCCAAATACTCGAGTAGATCGGATGGGAGTACGTTATGTTCGGACTAATGAAATAAAACGGCTCTTCTTCGAAGTTTTTGGACGATAAAACTTTATTAATGTTGTTTTTGGGAATGTATGTAGATGGCTTTTGATATAACCTCTTTCATCTGAATCTGATGGGGGTATATAGTTTAGCAGTGGGACTACGAGATGAGATGTGTATAGTATTGGTTATATAATATACAGAGGCTGGACTGTTGTACTATATGAAATCGATATTGCGATGACCCAATGAGCCCGTAGAGCTTCATCAAGTGTAGCTATATCTAATCGCCACATATCAGTACGAAAACAAGTATAGAAAGTCAAAAATAATTGGTATAGCCACTAGTAAAAACCTCGCTCGCGTATCCCCCTTGATATGTTCCGATTGGCCCTTTCTTCTCCCGAATTTCTGTGATAGGTGTGGAAAATCCCTTTTCTTGGATTCAGGGATCTCGAAATGTTCTGTACGCTTATATGTTTGTTTGTTTGCTAGTTTGTTAGTAGAGAAGTGACCTGACTGTGGCGTCATCGCAGCTTCGCTTAATAAATACTAGTACTGAGTACAGTATAGTAGCTACTTCGATATCGGTGAATAGTAAATACTAATGGGTTGATGGACTTACTAATTGGTTCGCTTTTATGGTATGGTTAAAGATAGTCTAGATTAGCTGGGGTAACTGAATTAGATGGTATTGTGAGTTGAGTCGTTTGAAGTCTATAACCTACAAGTAGAGGATGACGCTCCGCCTCCTTCAGATTAATATTAATACTTTCAGACCCGAGCCGGTTGTCAAAGTACAGTGTGGGAAATTGGAAGGTGCCCGGCCGAAAAACAGAAAAAGGATTTGAGTATTCTCAACCCTTATTCAAAAAGTAGAGGCCATCATAATGGTTCATTGGTTTGATATAAAAGTTTCATAGGGTATCTATCTATATTGATGTGCCACGCTTGAAAACTATCTTCAAATCTCTTATAAATGAGACTAGACCAACTAAAAATGGATTCAAATCTCTCCAAATCAAGGTAAACACGTAAGAATACTTGAAAGTTTACTCAAAACAGTCGCTTGGTTAGCAGCACTAGCATCCCTCTTATTAGTTCCACCAACACTAATACTAGCATAACAACCATCTGTTCCCACAACCGATGTCTCGGTCGGGAGTCTCCCTCCATTACCACAAGTCACGACATCAGCACCGCTGACCAAGGGAACCGCGGTATAGATTCTGGAGAGCACAAAGCTATAATCAGACACCGATGTGCAATCGGTAGTTTTTGGATAATTGACGTTCAACCAAATATCGTCAGGCAGATATGGTGTGCCAGAAGCGACGAGCGTGTTGACTACCACTGCGGATAAATCACCGTAGATGGTGGAATATGCGGGGACGGCTGCATTCCATGCCGTTTCGGATCCTTCGGCTCCACTGAAGGCAATGGCCGGTATACCAAGTCCTATGGCCTCAATGGCTGCTCCAACAGTACCAGAGATGAACGATATAACACCCGTGTTTACTACCAGTCATTAGCATAAATTTTATTGACGAATTCCCAAATAATTACGTACCTCCAACGTTGGGCCCGGTAACAGCAAGGTCAGGGGCGCCTCCAAAGTATCCGGGAGCGAGAGTATTGATACCATACTCCATGGCAGTTGCGGGGTGCGAATTGACGTAGTTGAACTGATGTACCGAGCTATTATATCCAACAGCTGGACTACCACTTGGACAAGAATTGAACTCGCAGGCCTTAGTAAGAGTGGTAGGCGTACCGGTCCGAGAACCTTTTCACGATAGAGTCAGATTTATTGTTAGAGATGTAGAAGACAATTATTTCCATACCAGAACCGCTTTTGTTTTCGGCAGGAGCAGAAATGAGAACGTCATGTCCCGCACTGGTCAAAGAATCGTACAACGTTCTGATGCCTATTTCAGCCCATCCATCGTCGTTTGACGAGACAATATTAATCCCATGGGCCAAAGCTGGAAGCAGTACGAGAGATGAAGTTGCGAAACGCATGATTGATGATTCGATGCAGAACTGACAATTTTCACGACTTGGAATCTTCGACTTGTAAACCGAGGGGGTGATAGCGCGGGAAGCCTCTGGAGACATACATCATAGGATGAGCCAAATCATTATATATTTAGATTTCAAGTAACAAGCGGATGTTTTGCATTCACCAAAACCCGTTAAAGCGGGTTCGACTTGACAGTAGAGTGGAATTGCGGAGATTGCAACAATGCGATCCACGCTGCCTGCCTTCTATTCACCCCCTGTGTCACCCAAGCAATAGTTTCTCCATGGGCACGTGGAAGAATAAAGGGAGTTCCTGATTGAAGTGAAGGTGATTTGAGCGAAATAATCGAGGGAAAAAGCTTGTTTGTAAAGTGCCGCAATTTCCCGCTACATCGCACAAGCCTTGGTTGTGAAGTTATCTTCCGAATAAGACATTTGTACTCTCAATCTCCAACAATTGAATGGGAAATGGAAAACGGAAAGCCGGAAGGAAGCCTTGAACTTCTTCGAAAAGCTCAATCAAGCATTTAAAAATGTGTTTTAACAGTAGGAAAAAGATTCAAACGTTCATTGTTGATAAAATTGCGTGATGCGGTGATGCGGTGATGGAGGAGAAATGAAGGGGTATTGTCGCTTCCATAGATGAGTTCGATGTGCCTTGGCTGCTTGGTATCCACCTGACTGACTAAGCCAACTATTTGTCATTCACTGGACAAAAAGACAGTTGCGAGAATAAAAAAACAACTACAATGCAATAAGAGAAAGTTCTGAGAGGGTAAAAAGTAAAAAAATCATGGCTGAACAATTGAAGCTCCCTAACCGGTTCGAACGATTGACCTGAAGATAATTGTTAGAAACTGCAATCTTCCGCTCTACCACTGAGCTAAAGGAGCGAAGATCATCCATAATTGATTAGGATTATTAATGGTATTTCATTATATATATAAGCTAGTAGAAAATATGAAATAAACCCCACAAAGTTTTGTAACCAACACAAAGGAATCATATAAAAAATCCAAACGATACAGATACATGATGAGAATCGGTAAGAATACCTCTCCCACCAAAACACTAGAGCGAACAAAGAACATTGGATTGAATTGAATTGTATAGTACATTCTCTGTGCCATGTGTACGAGCCATCAGCACTCTAGTTCCATGGCATTACAGTAGCATTTTATTCGTCTCAAGATGATTCAATGGTCGATTTAATTTGTACTCGAGAAATATGAATACTCAAGTGATATACTCCAAGAAGTCTTGACAATCTCGATTAAATCATACGATGATTCGAGTTCAAAGAGGACATCTTTCATGGGAGCTAGCTATACTTACTCAGGGGCTGTCGGGAATCATTTATTCTGCCTTTGGAATTGGTTGTTTTTGGTTATGAGGACGTGTCGATTGCTCTACTCGAGTAATGCCATTCTCATACTCAGGATCATGAATCCGATTGTATTGAGTTTTACAGGGTGAAAGGCCTGGGACCTAATCATTATGCGGATCTTGGGAAATATTGCGATTGCCAGTGATGTGATGTGCCGGTATCTGGTATCTCGGAAGCAGAGATATCAAACCCCTATGGTATATTTTCTGTACCAAAACATTCTACTATATGAAAAGACCTTCTGAGCTTGTGAATCCAGTTCGTCTTCCATGGCTGTCAATGTCTTCTACCTATCACCAACGAGAAGGTTTGTTGATTGGCGGCTTTTTGAAAGTTGGGTCTCCATCCTGCGGCTTGTACAGAATGGATGATGTTCCTTGTCGTTAGGATAGCAATATCTCCAGGAGATATATACTCGAGTAATATCAAACCGGCAATGAAATAAACTGGTGGGTTCTTCTGGCGACATATATATATATACGTAACAACAATATTAGAGCATCATTACTGTGCCGAAAGGTCCACAAGTACAAGAATGAGAGGGGTAGAAATATATCTACACCGTTCCTAATTCCTCATTCGCGAGCTGAAAAAATACATATACTTCCACTCTACGATCTATCATAGGAATAACGCAGTGCTTGAACAGCACACAGCACCAGTTTCTCAGAGCGAGATACCTCTTAACATTTACACAACTCCCCAAAACAACGGAACCATGAAATTTTGGTAAATATAATTTATCCCTCCTTCCCATCATCCCATACATATATTCTCATCATCAAGAACCTCGTTCTCGACAACGAACATAGATAAAGACAACGAATTTCATTTTTGCTTCTCCATTCATACATAGACTTTCATAATCGCCTCACATACTAGCCTCACAAGATAACAATACCACTCGAACACGACATCGTACCACTATCATCATTATACCGGTACTTAAGTCATCTCATCTTCCTCCCCCCCCGCCATAAATCAAGTCTCTAAGCTTTCTTTCCATTCCCGATTAATCTTTTCATCGGGAAGAAAATCAAGAGACTCGGACCACTGAGCGTTTTACTTATACTCGAGTACATCTCAAACACTTGTATAGCTCTGCAGCACAATTCCTATATCTAAAATACTCATAAGCGATATCCAAAGTATCTAGATGATTTGATTTGATTGGAGATATTCTAATCTAATATTATAGTGTCACTCACTATATAAAGGCTTCATCTTCATAGTATTCATAGTGGCTAAACGATATCAGGCAGCTGTAACAAGTCGTAGGTCTCTTGTTGTGAGAATTGGGAATTCGGGAATTGGGGAATTACTAGTTAGTGAGGTCTGTGTCTGAGTTACTGGTATGAAAAGAAGAAAAAGACAATGATGTGGATTGATGGATTGGCAGTAAGAAAGAAAGAAGATATATAACAAAAGCTGAATTCACTTTCTTTATAGGTAAAACGGACCGAAATCATGGATATTTTGAATTCTAGTTTATATATCTCCCTCCTATCCATCCATCTACCCCCCGACAGAGCTTCCCGAGCCTAGCCAACTACTATAAATTTCACACTTTCCCCTTTATGAAATTCATTAATACCCATGTTATAGTTGATAGACGAATCTTCTAGGGCTGAACGGGATGAATTTGCCAGACCCAGACCTAGAGGTTTCGATTGTGGTGGAGATTCTTGGATTTTTGGAGATTTGCCTCATTGCAGTGTCAGTGTCGGTGACGAAACGCGAGTGAATTTGATGCTGTTTAGTTATTGTTGTTATTTATGGGTGATTTAGTTTATTGATACAAAAGAGAAGAGGTGAGAATTCCAGTGACAATCAGTAGCGTGCCGTATAAATTAACGATGATGCAAAGAAATTACAGCTCGTTCACATCCTTCTCAATTTCAAGACTCAAGTGTATGTGTATGCAAAACTCTTTCTCAGTGGGTAATAGGTACGATCAAACAACTAGATTCATTAGAAAAAGATGTAGTTCAAATTAGACGCCAGGATAAGAAGTACATTCTGTAGAGATAGATATATAGATAGTAGAGGATATACAAGGAAAGTATATATATATATATATATATATATACTCCGTAGGAATAGTTGAGAATTACATAATCAAGAAATGGATCTCCCCGAATCGGGAAATGTGTTTTTAGGACTGTACTGTATTGATTACGATATGGAAAGCGAGAGATGAGAATATTAAATAGTGATGGATCATAGGCATTTCATTAAAAGAAGTCTTGAATGAGTACTCGATTACTTCTATGCTGTTAAAGCTCTAGCATCGAGGACATGTTCCAATACTGTTCAACATTAATTCTTGGACTCGATCCTAGCTTATATAAAGTTATATAAAGCCCTCTCATTAACGTCTCCCATACCCAAACTGTAGGTTAATTAACAACTTGATTGGATTTAAGGTAAGGGGAGTAGACATCGCTTGGAGATTGCGGATGCTAATTCTGGTAATCAAAGTCATGGAAATATTTCCCCTCGCGTATTCATATTGGTGACTGCGGAATACTTACGGTGATCGCTATATACTACGACAGTGAAGGCTAACGAAAGACGGAGAGTATGTAAGTGACGAAAATAGTTATTTAGATGGTGACAAGTCCTGGCTTCGAAGTGTCATCCTAGGAATCACGGTGGGATAGGGTTCGTATCAGAGTAGAGTAGGTATGAGGTGTATAAGAAACGATCTGCATCCAATACTCATATGTGCATGGTAGAAATACGTTGTGAGAAGGGAGAGATGGGTTTTAAATAGTTTATATATGGCATACGGTATTTTTAAGATACACAGATGAACCGAGATCTCTCATTAATATGGTAATGTATTTCATTGTCTGGATCTATACTAGTATTCTCCAGCATTTAGGTAGTGCTTATCATTCCGCACTGGGTGGGAATGTATGTATGTATGTATGTATATATTAGCCTCAACTATCAGTGGCTCTCTGGAACGCAAACTTACAACGGACAGAATATAACATGGAAATGTCGTTTGCGTCGGAACCCGAAGTGAGGCTGTTGATGGACTATATCTACTAGCACTGTGGTTTTTGAAAGGCTGACAACGAGTGTAGGAAATAAAAATAGCGTAACAGAAGTAAATAAGTTGAGAAATGACTGTGAAAAGCTGTGGAAATGATGCGAAAAGTGAGGGGCAGATCCCCATTAGACACTCAGTTGGAACTGTTAAAACATATACTATGCACCAAATACAGACACAGACACACCATAAAGTCTTTGACCTCATTAGATTTTATAGTGTAGTGTATTGTTGGAGTCAAAGGTAGTAAACTTTTACGATTTCATATACCGCCGCGAAGAAAAGCACCTGTAAGAACCGGCTTGGACATCAACTCAAGGACATTCTTGATGCAAAGGGCTTGCCAAGCTCCCGAACCCCATGCCAAACTATTTGCTCACCTCTCGCGCTCCATAACTTGCAGTCAACATTTTCAATATCTCACTTCCTATGCACTAAAGCCTCGTCATCTGACCTCACTCCAGACCAGCCACGCCAACCGTCTCACCAATCCCAAGCCCTTCAAAAATCAGACATGCAACAAACACCTCTTCGATCCTTCTTTAATTCTCCTATTTGTTCTCTCGTTGACATTCAATACAGCCACAACTCCGTGGCTGAACCTGAATACGACAAATCGTAATCATAATAATAGCATACATCAATCACGCGGCCATATTCCCGAACCAATACGATATAGATAAAATCACCCGAAAGAAATTGTGAGCAAAAAGGGAAAATAGGATATGATATGATCAAACTTCATACCTCCATACCCATGAACTCAAGACTCAAATGCCGAAACGGCATGAGTGGGGGTGTATGAAGTCCCGAGGTGTTAAAAAAAATAGAAACCATGTTTTTATGCTGAGCTCGTACAGTAGTACTACTACTCTATCGTTCTAGCTAGTGATATATGTCTTGCTTTACCAAGACCGGGTATCAACTCTGGATGTGATGTGATGTCTCGGGGAATTACCCATGATATATGAAGCTATCCACTCTTTAGATAGATGAAATGAGTCTCAAGATAAAGTACCATGATACGGTGATGGAGGAGTGGAGCTGTTGCTGCGAAAAGATAAGGAGAAAGCGTGTGTGATGACAAGTTCCCAGATTCGAATGAACGATCCGAAGATGGGATGCGGGACGGTACAGTAGTTGATGGTGGAGTGGAGTACCATCTCGTGATCTGGTGATCACTGCATCACAATCACCACAATCACACCCATTCACAGGAAGATAATAAATACATGGCAACAAGAATAGTACAAGAATCTGCTAACACGAGAAACAAATGACTATTGTAACTGTAGCCATCGTAATCGTGATCGTGATTGCATCGATCGTAAACTTACTTTCACGACAGTGTCATGATGCGATAGTCATAGAAAATGTCAAAATATACACATGAAACGCAAAAAATGTCTAAGACTCATTACCCATTCGGTATGCCGCAGCCGCAT